TAAAAACTGAAATAATAATTTGTAGCCTTAAAGTAAAAATTATATTTATTTAAAGACATGCTGAAAGTTAAATAAAAATATCTGATTGTTAATCAAAAATAAACAAAAAAACAGTAATATTGTGAAATACAATTACAATTTCAAATAACTGTTTTCTATTTTAATATATTTTAAAATGTATTGTATTCCTGTGATGGCAAAGCTGAATTTTAATCAGTCATTTCTTCAGTGTTCAGTGTTACATGATCCTTCAGAAATCATTCATGCTGATTTGGTGCTCAAATAATATTTCTTATCATTATAAATAATGGTTGTGCTGCTTAATGTTTTTGTGGATACCGTAAAATATTTTTTTTAGGATTCTTTGATGAATAAAAATGTTAAAAGCACAGCATTTATTTGAAATTGAAATCTTTTGTAACATTATAAATGTCTTTCCTGTCAGTTTTTAATCAATTTTATGTGTCCTTGCTGAGTGCAAGTATTAATTTCTTTCAAGAAATCATACTGCCCCCAAACTTTATTTTATTAAGCCCCCCATCCCCCCCAAACACAAATGGTAAAATTAAGACTTTTTTGGCTTTCAGGTACCTTTCATCCTGAGTGTATCAGGTTTCACTCTTAATGAAAGCTTTAGGTCTTTTTCTTGGCTTTCACCAAGCTGTGGCAGAAACCTTTTCAGTCTGTCAATGGATCTGGCCAACGCTCAACACAGATGACTCACACCGAAACTAAAACACAGCGATGCTCAGCCCCCTTGTTATCTTTTTAATATTGTGAACTTGAGTCGCAATTCAAAGAACAAACACACATTGCAGTGTGAGAACCAACTTTTTATTGTTCGTTTTTGTGATGGTCCATATTTAATATTCATAACTCTGTTTTCTCCCAAGTGAATTGGAAATACTGTACAATATCAATGACACTAAGAGACATTAAAATAGTCCTTGTATAGCTAACAGTATACTGTGGCTAGTGATCTGAATGTGCTATCACCCAACAGAATAGGGTTTGACTAAAGTTTTAAGAGCATTGCTCTTCTTCGGCAGTGAAGCCCTCCAATGCTGCTACTCTCAGAGTAACGGCGGTTCCCGTGGCCTCACAGACCATCTGACCAACGTCCAACCAAAGTAAATGCCTGCAGAAATATTGCTTATAAATCTAAAGACTACAGCACAGAAGTGTAGACTGGAAGGTAATAATACACGTTTCATAGGTGTCCTTCTTACTAAATTACTCGCGGATGATCTTTACAGTACTTTGGGGGATTAAAAATACATTTACATTCACATCAAGTATATTTCTAATGATTAAAATAGCACTTCCAGAGTGCTAACGTACTCTATTTTTGACTTTCCTCCTTAGTGCTCGTATATGTTTGAAACACAAAGTGCAAAAATGTCCCAGCTAAGTGTGTGTTACTATAATCTAACACTACTAATAATGATTGTGCTGAATATAGTTGGACTAAACATAAAAAGTGTGGGAACATTTTGACTTTTGACGAAACCTAGAAGCAGCAAACGATAATACTGAGGAGCGTACAGAAGGTGCTCTCTGTTTGATAAGCTGACATCCACATCAAATTTAAACCAACATTTACATTAAAAGCATGAAAGAAAACGTAAGTTCAGTGCACTAACCAACAATTTTTGCGGCATGAACACACAAATAAGTGAGTTATGTTCACAGAGGAAACAAAACTCACAGCTGGAGGTGAATTAAGGGAGGTAAGGGACTCACGACATCAAAATAGCAAAAATAAAACCGCTTTTTTAAACACACACACACACTTGATACAACAAACACTACCCCCATATACAACACACACACTATTGCACAATGTACAAAATTAAATGCTCTACAGTTTAACTGTACAACAATATCATACACGTCAGTGTTACAAGAATTCACCTGTTTGCTTTTCATAGATTTCTTACCGTTGGTTTAACAAAATGTACACCGATATTTACAGATATAATATTCAGAATCACAATGTACATAAATATACAGTATAGCACTTCGCTCACAAACATTATGGCCTTCAGCACCTCTTGAAAAAGAAAGAGATGCTGCTTGTACATTTCATCAGCTAAAATATGGCTCAGCGTTTACACTAGAATGAATTTAATTTCAAGAGGTCTCAGAGCTGCAGTTTTCATTGTTTTCAGGGCCAAATGAAAGTGCAGTTGTGTCTGTGCTTCAAAAAGATAAAAATGTGCCACATGATTCCAGATTGTCTAAGACATTTAGTGGATTAATCTCAGTAGTTGAGTCTGATTGGTATCTGTAAAGATTGTAGTGAACGCACGCTATTCGAACAGAGTGTATTTGCGATTATGTATTAATGAGTTCCTGCTGCATGTCATCACAGCAGATGTACAACTAATCTATTACCACTGTTTCTGACCATTACATATAGAGAGGCATGTGCTTATCAGTGTAAATGATATGAGTGATATGATTATTGTTTACCAACCAAAAGAGTCCAGAGGAAGTATTTTAATGCTTGTATGTACATTATGCACTCTAATGCATGTTCAGATCATGCCATGTAAATCTGCTGCTGAATGTTGTGCTTGGCTTTGTGCTAATGCAGTCCATTAAAGGTGCACTCTGCTCTTTTTTTCTCCCTAAAAAGTTTTAGACAAAATTAATAGTACTTCTGATAAAAGTGGACTACCGTTGAAGATCCTTGATGTACACTTTAATATTCAAGCTGCCCACAGAGGAGATTTTAATTGGATAGCTGTACTCTCCTTTCTTTTCTATGTCTCTTCTTGTTAGTAACTTGGTGCTGTTAAAACTAGGAACAATTCTTGTATTTCAGTCTGAATATGAGCTGTTGTGGTTCTGTGGACTTTTTTTTCTATTATTATTTCAGTGTGAGAGGTCACAAGTTCAAATTTTGCTTGACTGGCTTTTTCTTTCTTTCTTTCTTTCTTTCTTTTTTGTAGTAAACCAATTGAAGTTGTATCTGTTTGTCAGTATAGTTTAAAAACAATCCTAATGTCGTTTTGTGCTTGTGAGATGCAGCTCTGGGGCCTCTTGTCTAAAGAAGGTAAAGTGCACAAACCCAAAACTGCCACAAGCAGACAACAACAAAACAAACAATATATGTTTCACACTAACCATTAGAGTATAAGTGATAATGAGAGGCACCAGCTGTGCTCAGCGGAGGGGTGAGAGGATGAGGCCGGGCACAGAGACACACCTTTAACACACTAATCAACAGCAAACAGCGACACCTTGTGGACAATATTGTGCTATTACAGGAGCAACATTAAAATTATTGTACTTTACCACACACTGGACAACTACACACTACAACAAACAAATTGTGTATGTAAAATTCTAAAATCTGTCCTGATTTATGAATCAATGTGCTCTTTCGAAATCCCATCTCATCTGTGATAAGGGCAGGCTCAATGCACAAGACCACTTTAGCAATTCTTGTCTAGAGGGATGGCTTCACATATTTCTTACTGCCTAAGTCTCTTTCTGTGAATGGCGGCACAATCAGGCAAGCAAGTGTGGGCTCTTCCAAAGTCCACCCAAAATTGAAAACTCATTCATCATCATTGACTCATTCTCATTTTGTTTCAAACTCATGTGACTATTGCGAATGTGAAACACAAAAGGATGTTTCAAAGAATGGATGGAAAAATCAGCATGAACAATGAAAGTGAATGAGGACTGGAGCTGTCAATCTCCAAAATATCACATTTGAAAGAAGCACTACAACGGAGGCGAAAATTGTGAGTGAATAATTACTTGAATTTCTTCTAATAAGTGGCTTGAGAAGATATATGGACTACTTTTATTTTATTTCCTTTTTAAAAGCTTGACAGTCCCAGTACCTGTTCACTTTCATTGGTTAGAAAAAAGTGACCAGTATATTAAATAAATTCCTATTTTATGCTCCATGGAAGCAAGGGAGTCATACGGGTTTGGACCAGCATGAGCTTGAGTAAATGATGCTTTTAGATTAATTGTCCCTTTAAATGATTTTCCCCTTGTTGTTGTGAAATGCAGTGGTTGCTAGGGATACAACAAGGGCCTTATAGAACGTCTTGAAACCCCTCCTCAACACACAAACACACACACCCAAGGAGGACTCATTAACATGCAGCCGTGCTGTTTCTGACACAGGTTCCCCTGGGTAACGTGTCTATTTTTACCGCAGCAGCCTTTATGACTGGCTCGAAAGCTACAAGCAGCTGGATGATCAAAAGCTTTGCCGTTGTACTCATCGTTTCAATAAGACCCACAACTCCTGTCCTACTCTCCTTCACACTTTCGTCTGCTCTCCAGCACTCTTCAGCTTCCTGAATCTATTCTTACTGGAATAAATACTGAAAATGAACCCCATTCATTAGGACCAGTGTATCTGTTATGAGCACATAAACCATAATGAAAAGGAGAGTATGTTAGGTTTACAGGTTATTAGGCAGCGAGCTTTTAAGGGCAGCAATTCTCAACCACATTAGGCAGTCTTCACAGTATTCACTACTTTTCATTACTATACTTTGGTTCCTCGAGAAAACTGGTCCTCTTCTACCAGTTCAATGTATGTTACCTTATAAAGACACTTAAGTTGCTTTTCCACATCAGGTTGATTTGCAGCAATCTTTTAAAATCACATTTTAAACAAAATATATGTTTTGGCCTGCTATTGTGTAGTGTACTTTTTTTTTAGAGAGTAAAAAGGAAAGGAAATGCAACAAATATCACACATGAGCGAGCTACCGTTCAAAAATTTGGGGTCAGAATTTTTTTGAAGTCTTTGAAAGTCTCCTATGCTTACTAATGCAGCATTAATCGACAAATATGTGAAAAAACAGTAATATTGTAAAATATTAGATTTTAAAATCTATTTTAATGTATTTACTGTCACTTTTGATCTGTTGATCTATTTAATGCTTCCATGCTGAATAAAAGAATTCACCCTTAAAAAAATCTTACTGACCAGACTTTTGAACATATATATATTTATTTCAGTACCATTCCCTATTTGGAGCTTATTATCTTCATTATAAATTTAACTTTGAATAATTATATAGACCTAAAATAGCTAGCCTCCACCAAGCATGATAACTTTAAGTAAAAAACAAACAAAACAAAAAAAAAATAGTAGTTAATAGAACAGCAAATGCAATTTCTCCACAGGTGTAGAACTGGGCTTTAAAGTAAAGCTCACAATTGCAGCTAATGCCACTCAATTCATTACTATTATTGCCACTGCTGACATGGAAATTAAATATTTGTTCCCATTCAATTCATGTGTAATTTATTAAGATATAGTTATTGTGCTTGGTGGAGTTTACTTGGCTCAAACCGTACCCCGTATTGCATCCTGAAATGTCATATCTTGTGCTGTGTGGAAATCCTCTCATCAGGCAGTCACATTTGTTTCGATCATAAAAAACTTAAACATAAACGTAAAAAAAGATAAATCCAGTTTCACATAAACAGCCTGAACCTGACACTTATACTGTATGTTTGATACTGCACTGAGACTACATACGTATGTGCTTTGTGTATGAATACATATATGTCGCCCTCTTGTGCTGAGATGTGGACATGACAGACTGTTGATGTGCAGTCTATGACCAAGAACACTTATTAAATGAGGATGTACTTCAGTCAGTAACAGAAATCAAGCTATCAATTCACTCTACTCTCAGGTGGTCTGTATTTAACAGTGACTCTTACATAATATCCACTAGAGGGCTCATTATAAGAAGTGAAAGCTTTAGTTTCTCTGAGCCCCTCTGAGTCGTCTCCCTTTATGAGCTCTAAAGATGAGTTTAAATGAAATCCCTTGCATGGCATCTCTTATGCATTTTGTAAGATGTCTGGAGTTCAGCAGCATTGGAAACACCTTAACCTGAGCGTCAACTATTACCTCAGCACTCACTCACAGAGAGGGATGTGCTACTAACCCTATGACCTCGAACGAATCACAGAGACCAATCCTGAAGCTTGGATGTTGGAAACTTCTTAGAGTTGACATTATTTATCTGTATACAAAAAATAACTTCCCAACTCACCAAGTAAGCCACCTTACATTCTGATCTGAAAGCTTCAGACTCTCTTTCACCTTCAGACCAACATCTGTAGTCCGTATGAATAATTGGGCTCAAGGGAACCTTTCTAGTTGGGGAAAAGGAAGGATCTCTGTGTCTTTCTGTCTGTTTTCTTGTCGTCCTGCTCCTTAGAATGGCTTGGGTTAAGGTGTGACCAACACTAGGACCTTCTCATCTGTTCAGCATCTTCTTTCTCTTTCCATCTCAGTCTCGGGTTGGTGGGTTGGAGGATCATGACTCAGATTTGGGAGGGGCGGGGTTGGTCTGGTAACCGCTGCCATAGCCACTGATGGAGGTAGAGTTGGTGATGAGCTCCACAGGAGAGGTGCTGCCAGGACCCAGATAGGCCCGGTGGCTGGGCATGGGAGAAGGGGCTTCGCTGGGGTTCTTCCCAAGGATGAACCTGGTCTCATCTTCCAGGGTGGAGGCCTCCTTTGCCAGGCTCTTCCGGTAGGAGACGGATAGCTTGTTGGAGCCGTCTGGTAGCCAGTTGTAGTGACGGGCAATAAAGACCAATGGAAGAGGAAGCATGGCCACAATGATCAGAGAAAAACACATGGCTAGTGCCCAAGGAGGATAACTCTGAAACCTCTCCATGGCCTGATTATAGAGAGAAGGAGAGAAAGAGATGGTTAAATAGAATAGAAGTCACAAAGTGAAATATTAAAGTCCTTGAATAATATTTTCTGATTTAAATGTCATAAAAATCTGGAAATTATTGCTAACTTCCTCCTTGAAATACATGCACTGTTCAAATTTTTTTTTTAAAGAAATCAATATTTTTATTCAGCAAAGATACATTCTATTGATCAAAAATGACAGCAACAACATTTATAATGATACAAATGATTTCTATTTCAGATAAATGCTGTTCTTTTCGACTTTTAATCAAGGAATCCTGTAAAAACTTATTTTAAATTGTAATAATATTTCACAATATTATTGTTTTTACTGTACTTTTGATCAAATAAATGCAGCCTTTGTGAGCATAAGAGACTAACTTGAAAAACATTAAAAATCTTACCAACCCCAAATTTTTGAAATCTGAATTTGGACACTATAGATGTAATTGCATATACAGATAATAAAGGGGGGAAACTGACCCACATATGTAGACTAGGGGTATTAATATAAACTAGGACAATACGAATAGGATAGGAGCGAGAAAAGGACTAGACAGACTAGTGTGTAACTAACCAGGTCTTGCACCCATGCATTGTATCCCGGAGGGCTGATGGCCATCTCTACCACAGTGGCAAAAATCAGTATGAGCAGACACACTGGAGACACATACTTCCACAGGTAGAAGTAAACACTGTACGGTCTGAAACCAAGCATGTCCTCTAGATCCTGCATGAACCTGATGAACACCGCAAAGCATGCAGAATTACAGGGCAAAAATAAACTATATTTGAGACTATATTTGGCATTAGCAAGAACAGACAAGGAGGAGATCTGTTTTCAGAGATACAGTCCTATTTTAAGTAGATCTTGAAGCAAAATGCCAGAGAACTTCACAAGCATAGTAAGTGAATTTGCCCACCTTTTAGTGCCATAGATCCAGGCTACAGATACATTCTCTAAGATCACCACAATGGTGAGGGGCAAACCAGCAGAATAATCATCAAACATGGCAACAAAGTAGTTCCCTGAACGCTGGACAAACAGCAAGCCGCACAAAAAAGCCACAATACAGCAGCCCACTGGGAGAAATATAAGATCATACAGGTTACTCAGTGCCACCTAAAAGTGGCCCAGCATCACCATAATTATATTATAATATACATTGGAAAAATAAGAATAATGAAGTAAACTCATTTCAGACTAAGAAATGGAAAAGAAATGAAGAAACCAGGAGCTCTCACCTGTGAGGACCTCTTTCCGAATTTTGAAAGTATCCAGAATGGGTGTGGTGATGCCAGTCATGGTGCCAATCATGCTGCCCAGGCCCAGGTTTATCAACATGAAGAAAAACATGACAGACCAGAAGGGAGAAGCGGGGAAATGGGTCATGGCCTCGGTGAAGGCAATAAAAGCCAGACCAGTGCCTTGAACAGCCTGATGATAGAGAAAAACATAATTATAAAAACAGACTCATTTAAAAATGAATAATAAAACCGCCAAAACTAAAATAAACATTCAATTTTATTTGTAGTTTTTGATATAGAATATATTGCAAAGATTTTAAATTATATACCCTGCTTTTATAAATGAAAATACCACAAGATACCACCAGATGGCCCTGAGAAATGTAACTCCAGTAATTAAAGGGGTCATATGATGCTTTTTTTAAAGATCATTATTTTGTGTATTTGGTGTAACAGAATATGTTGACATGCTTTAATGTTCAAAAAACATTATTTTTCAAATACTGTACATTATTGTAGGTCCTATATGCCCCGCCTCTCTCAAACGCTTAGTTTTCTACAAAGCCCCCTCCTTTGACAAGCGCAGTCTGCTCTGATTGGCCAGCTGACCCAGTGCATTGTGATTGGCCGAACACCGCAAGCACTCGTCGGAAATGTAATGCCCCTTACCATAATCGTCAGCTTCATCTTTTGAGACTTTAGTCTTTGCAACTTCAGGGATCTTATCTAAGAGCTTAGAGCTTGTAACACTCCAAAGAGAAAGGAAAACTTGAAATCGCATCATATGACCCCTTTAAATAACCATTTAACACACTAAACACCAAAATATTAAAACTAAAATAAAGTTAAAATTATGAAATACCAAAGCTAACAGTCATAGAGTAAAGATGAACAAACTAAACTGAAAGGACAAACTGAAAATAAACTAGAAATCAAAAAGCTATACTAAAATGAGAGCGTACTTTTGCTCCGATTCCATTTTCCTTCTTAATTTTAGAACCGTACACACAATTTTTGACCCCAAAATGGACAGATTAATGCATGTAAAGTTTCTTTTGCCAAAACTAAGCTGAAACTGGGAACATAGACCCTAGAGCTATAATATTTTTTTTTAAAGAAATGTTAAAAAGTTCCCAAATATAGCTTGAACAGTATACATAGTATTATGAATTAGTAAAAGAAATTATTACAATAGACATTTTTGCCTATTGAGCTTGGTAAAAAAAAAGAAAAGAAAACTAAGCCTAAATGTAAGTTTTATCCATGCTAAATGGCTTAGCTGAAACCTGTGAATGAAAGAAGACAGCTCATGGGCTGAACACCTGCCTTATTGAGCTCATCCTCCAGAAGACACGGCTCCAGCCCCAGCTGTGCAAAACTGTCTTCTTTCACAATCTTTATTACGCCGTACATCTCGGCATAGTCTGACGAGGTGAGGTGGGAGAAGTTCACGTGAGGGGGGATGAGATCCTGACTCAGCACATTTGAGTTCAAGTAGCCCAGAATCTTTTCAGCATTCCTACAGGAGAACAACAGACATGAGGCTGCTGGATGACCTTGGAATCCAGCTTCCACATTTAGATTTAAAGCATTAAGCATAGATAGTATTTTACAATGGAAAGTGTAACTTAATTCGATCACAAAAATGATCCTTTTATGAGAGAAATTCACAGACATATTAGGAGGTCATACGTACTCCACCACACATTTCTCGTTCATGACGTTGGCTTTGAAACCCAGCACAGCAAACACCACGAGTGTAGCCAGAATAGAGGTCACGAAGTTGATAACTGAGACCAGCACGGCATCAAAATGGCAGTTGTTGTCTCTCTTATTGTAGCTGGAAAAAGCGATGACTCCCCCGAAACCCAGACCAAGAGCAAAGAAGACTTGAGTGGCAGCTTCACGCCACACCTGCGGCTCCAACATGATCTCTAGCTAAAATTAAAGTAATTAAAAAAAAATTACATTTACAGTATGTTATTAAACATTTAAATGAACAGTGCCAAATAAGTGCCAACATGGCTGAAGGCCTTCAATTGTTTATAATGTTTGATTAAGCTAATGGAGTCATTGTTCTTAATGTGAATTTGATTAAATATCCCACCTACACCACAAGAGGGAGTCCAACCACCTGACAGGGTGCAATTTTTAGCCGCATACATTTTCTCTTTACATTGCTGACTCTTCCATCTTAAAGCTTTGCGTACATCGCATGAAATGTGTCCCTTAGTCTCTAAAAATTAAATCTGAATCCGGATAGCCTAAATATCACATGTGTGTTTGAAATCAGCGCACATGTACACTTGCCTTACCTTGGGTGTGAACATGTGAGCAATGCCGTCAACTGCTCCTTTAAGAAATATCCCTCTCACCAGGAAGCAAAAGAGCACCACATATGGAAATAGAGAGCTGAAGTACATCACCTGCACAAACACAGTGTAACAATTTTAATTGTGTTTTTGTTCAAATGTTTTACAATGATTTTTGGCATGACCTTGACATTTCTTAGAAAACAATAAAGGTGCATAAATGATTTTGCTATTATTTATTCCAACAAGACCTAAATTTAGCACATTATAAATATGATTATTATTTTTGAACTTTTTTTTGTTCATAAATGTAACACTTTAGGTAAGAAGCCATTCTTTCCTCTTCTTTTTGGTTGATTTCGACCCTGGTGTTACATATTTGTTGCCAATAAATAAACAAAAAGGTCAAATTATTATTGATTAATTAATAATTAAATGTAAAAATAATTTAAAATAAAATGATTAAATATATATGTATTAAAAAAAAGAAAAAAGAAACTCAAGAGCTGGCCTTACAGAGGCTCTTTTCTAGTTATATGATCTGAACAGGTGGTGAAGCTCTACTGGCCTGATGAGATTAACCGAAATTGATTTATAGAGAACTGTTTGTGTCCTTGTTGTTTAGACACTAAGATACTTTTAAACAGCTGGTAAACAGGTATTTCTCAGTAAAATCTGTGCTTGCTAAAACTGCACCATCATACCTTGCTTCAAGGAGAAAACAAATGTTCCACTCTGAGAAAATAATCATAATTGCACATTGTGACTTGTGTAATTGTTCGGAAGTGCTTGATAACGCAGCATCTGCAGATTGTGCCTTCAAGCTATCCGAAAATTGATGTTTTTCTCTACTAAGTTGATTCTCATTTCATTATCTCACACATTAGCAAGTCTGCCTCACCTTCCCAGAAGACTGAATGCCCCTTATTACAGCCAGGCAGACAATTATCCAGGCAGCCAGCAGTGACAGAGTCATCCTCCAGTTCAGACCCCCGCTGTCTGCGATTGTGCTGGTGATGTTCAGGGTCTCGCGGTACCAGAAGTACGTGGTTGCTGAGCTCTTCTCACACTTTTTGCCTTCAAGCTATCCAAAAATTGATGTGTTTCTCAACTAAGCTGATTCTCATTTCATTATCTCACCTTCCCAGAAGACTGAATGCCCTTTATTACAGCCAGGCAGACAATTATCCAGGCACCCAGCAGCGACAGAGTCATCCTCCAGTTCAGACCCCCGCTGTCTGCGATTGTGCTGGTGATGTTCAGGGTCTCGCGGTACCAGAAGTACGTGGTTGCTGAGCTCTTCTCACACTCAGGCTCCACAACTAACCAGACAAAGGAAAACCAGAGGGACAAAATTAAGTCTATTAATATTCCTATATAGTACTGACTATTTGATGACTCTGTGGATCAGCTTGTATTTCTTAGGATTTGATTCAGATTCATAAGTCTCCAAAGGTCGAATTCAAAGACAGTTAAATAACCCGGTTGGAAAACCAGCATCCAAAACATAACATATGCACTGCAAAAAATGGCTTAGTACTTTGTACTTAGTATTTTTGTAAAATTATCTGCCAGTGGGGTAAGTAAAATATTCTTAAAACAAGAGTATTTTACTTACCCCACTGGCAGTATATTGAGCAGAGGATACTGCCAGTTCTATGGGAATCTCCAAATTTTGCTTCTAACAGCACAGTATAGTATCCAGGAAAGAAGTAAAAAAAAACTGGACCTAAAAATCATTGTGCACTACCAGTTTTGGGGGTTTTAATCAATACAATTGGCCTGTGCAGCAATTCTTTAAAGTTTGTAATACATAAAGACCACAAACATAAAGAATGCATTTATGCTAGATTATTATGGTTTTGGATTTTATTTGGACATCTGCAGTGTGCTTTGTCCACTTAACTTGCATGTCTACATGTATCTAGTCTAAGTTAGGTTGAGAGTGAGACTGACTGCAGGTCTCAGCCTCTGTCTAGTTCATGTTCTACTTGTTGACCAGGGGACACTGCCACAGGGCATGCTGGGAAGTCTAAAACACACAACATGCCCTTGAGTACGAGGCTCATGAAAAACATAGGAAATGTGACAAGGTGCATGATGTGTGTAGGGTGGAATATACTTTAAGAAAGACTGCAATGCTACAAGTCACCAAGAGCCACCAATAGTGACGCGTAACAGACTGCAACTTTATCAAGGTCATCTGATGTTGGGCATGAAAACAAAACCCTTTCATTATGTTTGCATGCAATTAATGGATGATACTACACATTTCTACAGCTTTGAGTGTGATGGAAGCAGGAAGCTTCTTGCTGCGCCTCCTTTTATTTCATTAGGCACCAATTGAAATGTTTCACGTAAAACTGCAGAGCACTCACTGGCTTGGCTGCCATTCCTCCTGATAGGACATTCGCTCCAGGGCAGAGGATACTGAAACGACTGAAAAAAGTAGAAGATGCTCCAGCCGATAATCACATTATAGTACAGACCCACAAAACCACACACCTGCAGAATGAGAGAAAGAAAAAACAGGATATTGTTAACAACTATAAAATAATTAAAGGGGTAATACTGACTAAAAATGTCTCTCAAGGTCTCATCTAGTCTAAGGCTCATTTTGCCTGACTTTAGACCATTTACTGAACATCTGAGCCATAATGTGCACTGAAAATAGCAATATAGGTGGCAACATCCAATCTAACTGTCTGGCACCTTCTGGGGATCTTCTGTGAATGTTTTATTTACTTATAGCATTGAAATAATAGCTACTTATTGGACAAACAGAAATTATGACCGCAACATGCCTATATGCCAGTTTAGTTTATTATTGTTGCATCGTTGGTATTGTTGTGGTTGGTCATTTTACAGTACATGTCAGTCAGAGTAGCTCTTCCTGGCAGTTGTATAAGCAATGATGTGCACCAGACTGTGCTGACAGTCAAAAGTCTGGCTCCTGGAGTCTCATCTGATATAAGATCAGATGACTTAATTCATAAAATCTGAAGTCTTTTAACTCCTAAAACTCAATAGCATTACTTCATTTATACTGTCCATAAATAGAATTTGAACAGAAGTGAATGTGTTCTGTGTGCTGAAATAGTGTGTATGTTCAGGGTTTAGCAACTTGTGCCTGTTAACAGCAAATCTATTTTGATGATTTTTCTATTATGAATCTGAAGTCAATGAATCCAGCAGTCTCATTCAGACTACATACCAAATACTAAATACAATACAAAATACATTTATGTATATATATATATTTGTATATATAATATGTATTTAGCTCATTCTGTTACTAATGAGAAAGCCATTCCCAAGAAACTACTGATTAAATAGCATTTACACAATATCCAAAATTCCGCACCAGTGCATTGCTTATGATATATAACCCTCACCTCCAAAAGGCCTTACATACTTGCTGACTTGCTAAAGTATCTCCAAAGCGCAGCTGCTTATACAAGGAAAAGAAACCAGAAAGTCCAGGTGCAGCTGGGGCTGAAACTAAATGTATTAACTGTTCAAACAGAGTGATATTTTCATATCGAAACCCATCTGATAGGTTGTGTGACTGCGCTTATATTAAACTGATCAGAGCACAGAGTCTAGTAATGGATGACTCAGCACAGAATGGCTGATAAGTTAGCACTTTTAGGCTAGTGACTCATCAAAAATAAATGCTTTTGTTAGGGCCTTCAGAACACTGAAATTGGTTATTGGTCTGGAATGCACAGGCTTCTCATTGTATTGTGACCCTCTTTCAACAAAACATTAGCATATGAACTAGAATCTCAAACTGTATAAATTACACAATCTGAGCTGACGTGCACCAGACACTCACAAGTTGATGTCATTAAAGTCAGCAATTTAAACGCAACCATTTTCACACACAACTGCTCATTAGACTGCTCATTCTGTCTTGTGTTTCAGTCTACTACTTTCACCAGAACATCATTCACTCACCATCAGGCTGGACACTCCAATGCCACCAAGTCGTGGATAAACATAATTCCATACTCCTATGCTTCCTCGACGGATCCTCTGGCCAACTGCCAGCTCCAAGAAGAAGAGTGGGATGCCAATAAGGATAAGAAGGATGAAGTATGGAACAAGGTAGGCACCTGTAAAGAGAGACAGCGACACTTGTAAACACAGAGAGTAATGTCCTTACAACAGTGTCTTTAATGACCAACCAATAGCCCAAGATCAATCAAGCTACTGCACACTAAACTCACTTTATTCTTTCAGAATGTTTTTTGTCCTTTCAAAATACCATTTTGCTTTTTTTCATACGCATACAAATAGTAAATCGTCTTAAAATATGTTTCTTGCTAATTAAACAGAACACACAGTAGAATTTAAATGAGTGATTGTATCTAAAATTTTGATATGACTGTCTGGGATGTTTTCCTCATATTTTCCTATATTTACATTAATTTAACTAAAGTAAAACATAAACGTGTTTTTAGCAACACTATAGTCTCTAAAATTAATGCATATGTAGGTCACGTTTTTATATTTTGTTATGTTTTGGTTTCATTTAGGCCATAGATTGACTTAACTACATGAAACATTATATTGTAAGACGTTAAATCATATGGTGTGACAGTTATCAAAAGAGCTTGACAATTGAGTCTAAATACAATACAAAATACAATTACTAAATACAATATTTAATAAAAAAATTTAAGATATACAAACCAACATAAGTATTAATTCATCAACTTTAGTTTTAAGACCATAATTAATTGTCTTAAGATATTATTTTTCTTAGACTAATAGATATATTATAAAGATGTCAAGTACTGGGACTGTTCGTCAACTGCAGGGAAAAAGGAAATAAATAGAACAGAACATTAATTCAGGTCAAAATATTGCAAAATTAGTGTAGCTGACTGGACAGACTTAACTAGATTTCCATAACTGCAATTTATTTGGATCACTGGTTATACTTCTCTTTTAATTACATTTTAAGAAAACTTGATTTCACTGAACTAATGGTTGGTAATAAATATGACATTTTCCTTTAGAGAAATATGTATTTAAAGTAATATGATCTGTCACCCCATATTTTAAAATATTTAACTCACTGTTTATTATACAATATGGGTTCAAATAAAATCAAATACACTATACTTTCAAGCAGAACAAGAGCAAGGGCAAAGCTTTATTATTTTCACACCTTTTTTATGTTTTGTTTTCCCTAAATTTTCTTGATAAATTTCAAGCACCCAGATGCAGCAGATGGTATCTGCTATAGGCTAATGACAGTCTGAGCCTCAATAGGCATGAATGAACAGACAGACAACAGAATAAAACAGCAAGTCATGCTGCCGAACCCTGACGTCAAACCAGCTCCATGGTGACGAAGAGTTTGGTTTGAGCAGAGCAGCCTCTATTTGAAGTCTTCATCTTAAATAAAAAAAATGTAAAAAAATTTGTCTTTCTCTTTATTTATTCCTTCCCTTTCTAGCTTGTACTTATTTGAACAATGCCTAAAACTTGGTATTCCAAGCACTTCCTGTGTCTGTTTGCTTCTTTAAGAAGAATCGCTTTATGTATTCCCCAACTGTGAGTCGCTTTGGATAAAAGCGTCTGCAAAATGACTAAATGTAAATGTAATGTAAGTCAAAGAACAATCTGAAAATAACTGCTTCTGTAGACGTGGAGCGCACAGTGCTGGCGGATGACCACAAACCCATCCTCTTGGGAGACTCTAAGTGTAATTAGAGCCATGGATGATCACAGCACTATATATATATATATATATGTTTTTCAGTAACTACTGTAATTCTAAATGATCTTATCAATTATGAAAACATTTTAGATATTTTACCTCATGGTAATTTTTTTACAAAATATAGTATGTTTTTTGCTTTGAGTCATTGATTTCTGAAACAAACCATTCATTCATTAATTTCCGTTACCTGAAATCATTTTACACCACATTTCTGACCAGAGACTGTGAAACAGCATGAAATAGTACATTTTACATTAAAGTAGCATATAAACATTGAATAATAGTCCATGCAGCCAAGGAGCAATTACAGCAAGAAAATTAAACACACTGCAAGAAATAATAACACACACTGGTACCGTCACCTTAATAAATTTAGAGGGACCACAGCACACAAGGCATTCAACTGACCCAAAAAAGCCTGTCTCAGTGGAAATTATACAGAGCTTAAGATAATAATAAAGAAGAGTGAGAATGTTAAAGGGATAGATCACACAAAAATGTAAATGAAAAATATAATGTACTCATTCTCATGCCATTCCAAACAAGCATGACTTTGTCTTTATGGAACACAACATGTTTTTGAAAAAAAAAAAAAAAAAAAAATGGTGCCGTTTTCTCATGTTTCTGTTTTCAATATTAAATCAAAAAACGAATGAACTCGGATCCATTTTGCACAACAGTTTTTTTTTTCTAACATAATGCTGAAACATATCTAAAAGGCAGACTGGAACATTGAATCTGTAGAAGATGTCCCCAGTGTGAAGTCTTGGATATCACTTAGTCATAATTCTCACTCAGAGCAAAATTTTTTTAAAAAAAAAAAAAAAAAAAGCCTTGCCCACTGTTTTCTATATAATGAAAGCAAATAAGGACTGGGGCTATCAAGCTCCAGAAAGACAAAAAATACACCACTATATTACAAGTCTATAAAAAATAAACAAATAACCAGACCAGAATTTACGTTATTCACTATACATTTTGCCATCTCTCCTAGCTCTTGTTCACAAGAGAAGTAGTAGCCATGTCTAATTTGTGCATGATTCAATGTTTTAATGTTCATAAATCAGACTGATCCAGTTTTAGAGCACTGATTAAATGATCCGGTCACAATGGTTAACAGCTCACTGGAGGTGAATATTATCAGAGAATAGCTTACATTCTGGTTGTCACAAAAAGCTAAATGGCTTCAGAAGACTTGAAAAATTGTTGTAAAGAAAACATGCAGTTGTGGAATACACAATATGTGTGGGCACCGCTGCTGAAATCAACCTCTCACTTATCTTTATGAATGCACATATGTTTTGGATGTGTCATCCTAGGAACTTTAGAATCAAACACTTTTTCCTTGTTTTATTTCCTTATGAAGGAACTAAATGCATCAACATGTTAACTATAAAAACAAACAAACAAATAAATAAAATACTTGGAGGACATTACATTTTTTTTATTTCTGGTCCATTGTCTATTGTCAGTTAGTGTAGCAATGTATGAAGCACTACTCACACAGAAGTCACTTTCAAACCAAGCAGCTTTCTGTTGATCAGTGCACTAACTTAAATACAATCTGTGTGGGGACTTTTCTTTTGACATGAAACCCCCGATTATGCAGCTTCCTGTTGGAATGACTGGATTTCACGTGCAATATTTCACAGAGCAACTGTAATTGTGATTGTACCTTTAGTTATAGATTTAGTTTTTATACTAGGGACCCTAAAAGGCTGGTGTCATACTAAAGCCAAAATTTATTGCCAGGTTTTTCAGTGCAACATTGCTTAAGTTGTAAATTAGCGCTCAGAAAAACTTAATTATCAGCTGGCTTTTTATTTATTAAATACTAAACCCACTGATTTTTGGTTTAGTGTTCAATAGAATTCAATTAGTGTTCAATAGAATAAATCTGTGCAAAGCACTACCTGACAAAAAAATGTTGAATACAAAACATTTAGGATACTTTTTAGTGCTTTTCTGCTTTTTTGAAGCTTGAAGAGTCTTGTCCCCATTCATTATAACTGCATGGAAAAGAGTGACCAGTGCTTTAACATTTCTCCTTTTGTGTACTATAGAAGAAATGGAGGTTGAATAAATAATGACAGAAACATAAATTTTTTGGTGAACTCTCCATTAACCTCAAATCAGTTCCAAATGCACATCACTAATAAGTAACTCACCTCCTCCATTCTTCTGGCAAAGATAAGGGAAACGCCACACGTTACCCAGCCCCACTGAGAAGCCCACCTGGGCCAGGATGTACTGCAGCTTACTGTTCCAGGCAGGGCGACCGTCTTCTAGGTCAGGGGAGATATCTGGCTTGCCTATGGGCGGAGGGCCCCCTCCTGCCATGTTCATGCTCATCTGACTGCTCTTGTAGTCCATGGGAGCCTCCAGTGCCAGGAGGTCAGCCACAGACTCCGTGACATGCTCATTACTGAGCTCGCGCTGAGTCACTTTACTGCTCTTGGGCATGTTTGTGCCCTGTCGTGCTGATCCTAACAATTAAAGGTGTGAAAGGAGAGCCGGGCAGAATGGAGGTCACAAAAACTGCCCTTTGGCTTGATACAGGTGTGGACAATAAAGCTTTGTGCTCCTGTGAAAAGAACATAAAAATTAAAACAATATGACTGAAGGTCATTATATACAGTATCATCCAAAAACTCAAACATTTGTGTTACATTTAACAAAATATTTTTTTCTGGTGAGTGTTGTCTTTGTTGTTGAAATTTATAACCCATTCTTAATATTATAAAATGTGTTAAAACTTAAAATTGCATTTGGTTTTTGGCTTTGGACTACAGCATTAATTGCAATCGAAGCTAAGACCCTCCGCATAGTAGTTTTGAACAGCATAGGCCTACTAATATTTATTAACCATGGTACAATATTATCTTTTTGCGAATTTTACAATTACATTCATTAATGTAAAATACAATAAAAACAGTGATATTGTGAAATGTTATTACAGTTTAAAATAACTGTTTTCTATATTTTAAAATGTATTTGTTATAATTATTCCTGTTATGGCAAAGCTAAATTTCTTCAGTGTTACATTATTCTTCAGAAATCATTCTAATATGCTGAGTTGATTCAAGAAACATTTCTTATTGTTATCATGTTTTTATTATATTAAACATAGCTGTGCTGCATAATATTTTTGTGGAAAGTGATCCTTCTTTTCTTTGATGATTAGATTTTAGGATTCTTTGGTGAATATAAATTTCACAAGAACAGCATTTATTTGAAATAGAAATATTTTGTAACATAATTGTCTTTTCTGTCACTTTTGATCATATTAATGAGTCCTTGCTGAATAAAAAAAAATATATATTTTTTTTTAAATAAAACTGACCTCAAACTTTTGAATGGCAGTATATATAAATACAAATCATTCTGCAGTTGATCTATAAATCAAATCAATATTAGATGATTAATAAAAGCCATTTGCACTTTGTGTGGCAGAGTAATCATCAAAGCTCAAGCTCACATAAAATGTTTTTATTTATAAATTAATAAATAAATTAGAAGACAATAAGTTAATTAGAATACAACCAAACAACAGTGACAAAAAACAGTTTTGATACATGTGCAAGTAAAATGTGGAGAAAGTTGCAGAATTGGATAGAGTTCAGGGTTTGCATTTGTTGTGCATTTTGATGCAGTTGTGGAATACACAATGTGTGTGGGCACTGCTGCTGAAATCAACCTCTCACTTGTCTTTATATATGCAAATATATTCTGCTACATGTGCCATCCAATTGAAATTCCAAACCCAACACAGTATTTTGTACACAGTAGTTTCTTCCTTAAAAGGAAGTAAATCCATCAATGTGTTTACTTAAAAAAATATATAGGTTTAACAGTGCAACATTGCAGTAAAGTGTTACATTGATTGCACTAAACTAGCACTTTAATTAGTCTTAAATGGTGATTATCAGGAGCCCATTGGAAGGAATGTTAGTTTAGTGTTCAAATAATGGATAGAATCTGTGCAAAACACAGCCTGAGATTTAAAAAAAAAGAGGCAGCCACTGACTACCTTTTAATCTAGACCATAGGGCCTCTTTTTGAGATAAATATGGGAGAAGTGATGCATGAGCTGAGATGTTTATCTCCTGACTGAATAGGAAATGTGGCAACAAAGCTGCCATCTTTGCTCTTCCCACCTTTATCTTTTGTAATGAGAAGCAGCCTGAGGCACTGAAAAAAAATCTATACAGCTTATCTCAAAAACAAGAGGACACAAAACGTTGATGTGTTGCTAGGTGATGCCCACCCACCGCCCATGACAACCTACTAACCGTATTCCAAAAAGGCTCAGATCTGCCCCGGGGAACCATATGGGGAGGAATCCAGCTACTTTTAAGCGCAGACATCACCACGGTTTGAAATAATAGCATGTGCATTGTTTTTGTGACATGGTCAGTGATGCTAGACCATCAAAGGACCATCACATGCTGAGTTTTAAATTTTGCACCCACTGTGAAATTTTGCACAATGTTCAGGTCCAAAACAGCCTGTCCGGGTAGCAGGCCAGTCAGTTCTACGTCATTATTATGGAAGGGATTATATTTCAGTAGGAAGCAAACTCGACCTGAAGAATGCTGTTCACACTGTGCTTAATCTCATTTTGCTGTGCATTAAACACAAGGGCGCTGATCACTCATAATAAAGTTAATGTGCTTGGTCAGATGATGCTGAGGAATTCAACAAACGCACCCAAACCTAAACTCTCCCTGATGGCGATTCATTTTTTACTATTTTGTCCAAGAATATAAAATGTGGTGCCAATCAGAGCCTTAGTAACAATGGTCTGTATAGCTAAATATCCTGTTCATTCCACTGCATGTTATAATGTGAAATGCACATATTTTATCTGACTGGGTTGCTAGGCAATAGAGCTTGATGAAATTCTCACGTCTCTGCTTCCTGTGAACCCAAATGCTCTCTGTATCAGAACAGTAAGTGACAGCTCATCTATCCAGTGCTTGAGAGGATACATGAACCAAATTTAGTCAAATCCTTGAAATACACAGAATGGTTCAGAAGAATCAGATTTCATATTCAGCGAGCAATCGCTGAATATCAAAAAAGAACACACACTGATATGATACAGGGATGAAGGCAAGTGCATGTTGTGACTGCAGCAAATGAATCATAGGAATTGCGAGGACAGCCATGTGTATGACTGCAATGTCAAGCTCTCATTTTCTAGAAGAGTAGTACAGTATTTTTTAAAGACTCTACAATAGTGTAAATATTGTAAACAGATAAAGAAGGTTTTAGCTCCTACAATGCTAGAACAGAATGTTAAGGAAAAACAAACCAGTGGCAGAGATAATAAATATATTAGCCTCTTTGGGTAGTTGACAAAAAAAAAAGACATTTGGGGAATTAACATGTCCTTTGGTGTATTCCATCTAAAGCTATTTAAATCTATTAACAGTACGTTGCTAATTCTTTTATATATTATACTCTAAAAAATGCTGGGTTGTTTCAACTCAACTTTGGGTCAAATATGGACTAACCCAGCTGTTGGGTTAAATTTTTACATTCAAATTTTAACCCAAAAATTGGGTTAGTCCATATTTGACCCAAAGTTGAGTTGAAACAACCCAGCATTTTTTAGAGTGTACCTCTCAAATTAATGTGTATTAATTTTAAATGTATGTACAGGCCTATATTTCAACTGTGTTTTTAAATGTTTCCATAATGACCAAAGTTGAATTTCAAGAGCATGAAAATGAAAAGATGAGAATCTGGGCCACAAGAGATGAGTTTTTCCTGTTGAGTGTTCTGTTGGCTGTTGAAGTTTATAACTCAAGCTGAAATATTATTATGATTTATTAAAGCTTATCTTATGATTCCATTTGGTTTTTGGCTTTGCACTAGCCTACAGCATTCATTTCATGAGAAACTTATCTATTTGTTGTAATGTTTTTCTAACCATCTAAAGCAGTGTTGAACAGTATAGGATTGTGGCAGCCTACAATATTATCAATTTTACAATTACATTAATTCATTTAGTAAACGTTCTTATACAAAACGACATATGGTCACTGAAAGCAATCCTTGAGAAGTAACAATAGTGTACTATATACTGTTTAAAAATCTGTTTGAAAACGCTGTTAAAATATAGGCTTATAACGAATAGAAGTAATAAGTTCTTGAAAAAAAATCTTGCTGACCCCAAACATAGGCCTAGGACTATATAAAACGTTTCCATAATGACAAAAGTTGCATTACAAGTTAGTCAGAGTGCGCTAAATAGATGCTCGCGAACAGAAGTAACCATAGCAACAGAGCTATCTTGATCAGTATCGGACGTACAACAACAAAACATAACTCCTGTCATTATTAATCACTCTACAGTTTATTAAAGTTTATTAATTATATCACAAGGAAAAACCGTGGTGTTTTGTTTAACACATTTTAAAGATGACTGTTCACTGACAAAAAGACAATTTGATTGGGTGAAACAAACCTCAACCTATTGGGTGTGGAAATTATTAGTCGACCCCCTTGAAGGTCAGTGAAGGAGCAGGACAAACTGCGTCAACTACCCATTTACAGTTTGGGTAGTTTTGATACAAAATTCCATACTTTAACATTTTTCACAATTTTACCTTTATATTCACTTTTCAAACATCATGATTTTACTTCATACATAAATGAAAAAAGTAATGTGATTAAATAAATCACGTGCATCTTTTCAGTTGGGAGTAACTCCTCGACAGCTCAAGCATCACCTGAGGATGCGCCTGACTGCGGTCACGGACAACGATAGCATTCACCTATACCCTCCCCCATTCACGGATCTTTCAACAATAATCGACACGAGCAATACGCTTACTATAGTTTAAAAACACAAACACTTGGACCACGCGGGGCTTAATGTTGTCATGTATGTAAAGGGACGCGCGTCGTGCAGCATCCTCAAGGTCAAATATTTGTGTCAGGTTGACCTAAAACTGTCGCGCCTCTGATAACACGAGAAACCTCGTGAATAACAAACAACTGACCAGTAACTGCAGCTGTGAATTATCAACATGAGCTACGTGCGGCGTGATAAAACGCTTCGTACATGAGTGGGATACCAATGGCACAACGCAATCATCGATGAAAAAATCTCTTGCATCTTTTACTACGACGGGTACTAAATGAAGCGAATCCAAGATCACTCACCTAACTGGATGTCGAAGAGTGAGAATCTGATGCCAATGTGCTCGTGTAGGTCTCAAGGAGTGATAATAGCCTGAAGAATCAGTTTGGTGGCTCTCGTAGAATGATTCCTCGTTGAGACACTTGATGTGCCGTTTCCGCGCTCACGATTGAACCTGTCCAGAAATGCGCAGAGTGAGTGAGTGCGCCGCCTGACGCAAAGCCCACCGCGCGCTATTATCTCTATCAGCCCAAAATAGTCATTTTGGGGTCACGCTGACACATCCGTGGGCGTTGTCCGCGACAGCCCTTCTAACCAACCCGCTCCTTGATTTGTCCTCCAATGGTTAAAATTCAAAGCGCAACTTGTTTCTCTTTACACGATTGGCAGAGAGCAAATGACTATAGGTGTACGCATGAGTCACGAACGCGCTCATACGTCAGCAGACGCGTAATGTGCGCATCCCATCCCGTCCAAATTCTGATGAAATACCTTTAGGCGATTGCAAAGTAAATTCTTACCTATTACCTTTCAAATGCACAATGCTGTCCAGATCTATCCAAAGGGGTCAAGTTATGTCTTATTTAGTTCTAGATTTATTTATTTAGTCATTTAGTAATTTATCAGACGCTTTTATCCAAAGACAAATAATACAAATCAAACGACAGTAGTTTATCAGTAATCCTAAAAAATAACACTGCCAAACTTACATGCTAAAAAACAACAACTTACTTACACGTAGTAAGAAATGGTTATAAAAACTGAAACAGAAGTGAAACAAGTAATAGGAAAGAGGAGAAATAAAAAGCGATACTTATTAAGATACTTAGATAAGGTTGCTTCCCACATTTTTAATCAATAAACTCCACTATGAACCCATCAAAACAGTGAGAGATGACATTAGCTAAAATCTGGAGCTCTGTTGATGCTTTTTTTCTGCTATCAGAAAGGCCTTTTCTTCACACATACGGATGAGTCTGATTGTGTCTAGCTCATTTTTCTTCCTGACATGTGAGGATTTATACTGTCCTTGGTTCTGGCTGGTCTGGCTCAATTTCTTTTCAGTTTTCTTTTCAGTTTCTTTTCAATTTTGCTGCCTGAATTGAGATGGATATCGCAGATGGCTGATTAATGTCTTCAGCAGGTTTTTTTAAAAGCCATCCCATTAATCACGTCTGCATTACTGTAAACATAAAGAGTGATTTAGAATGCATCCGTTTAAGTGAACAGAATACTTTGTCTGAGATCATTTTCAGATTTGCTTCCTAATGAATTATAGTTGCCTAATGCAATTATTCAACTAATCACAATTCAATGCAAAACTCAGCTTTTACCTCATGGGAAGATCATGGAGAGACGTTCTTAGCCCTTGTTTAACAGAGACCAATCTCTGAATGTTTAGTCCCCTGGGTGGGAGATCAGTGTCCATACAGAGCTGATCGTCTGCAGCTACTGTTTTGAGCCTGGAACAACAAACAGGTAACACATAAGCCGGATATGTGTTTGTTTATGTGTGAGTGTATGTTTGACTCACATCAGCAGATGTGGCCCAGAGAAGCGAAAGTCTAACACCAAAGGGACTTTGTAGAGGCTGGATACATTTGTAGAAACACCATCTGTGTTTTCATAGTGCTAAATGTTCAGAACATGACAGAATTGACTTTTTCCACATTATCTGCACTGATGAGAATTTTCCGCACTACTTTTATTGGAATATCTGCTAAATTAATCATTAAAAATGACTGCGCATTTACTGAACGCTGAAAGCATGATTAATAAATTCACTACAGATATAAAAAATAATCACTTTGTATCCGAAAGAATTTAAGCAAACATGTAATTCATGGGATATAAATTAACTTGGAAAATTTACAAACCTTGAAAGATTTGAGTTGTAGAAAATGTTTCAGTTAAGCAAAATATTTTACATTTCAGAATGAATTGGGTGTACTGCAATTAATTTATTGAAAAGGTTATGAATTAAGACTTTGTTCCTGAGTCTTGGAGGAATACGACAATTGTAGCCAAATTCCTTGACACGTCTGTGTGTGGTGGCTCTTGATGCCTTGACCCCAGCCTCACCCCAGTTCACTCAAATGCTTGAATCAATTTTGCTTGACAATCCTCATAAGGCTGCGGTTCTCTCGGTTGGTTGTGCATTTTTTCTTCCACACTTTTTCCTTCCACTCAACTTTCTGTTAACATGCTTGGATACAGCACTCTGTGAACAGCCAGCTTCTTTGGCAATGAATGTTTGTGGCTTACCCTCCTTGTGAAGGGTGTCAATGATTGTCTTCTGGACAACTGTCAGATCGGCAGTCTTCCCCATGATTGTGTAGCCTAGTGAACCAAACTGAGAGACCATTTGGAAGGCTCAGGAAACCTTTGCAGGTGTTTTGAGTTGATTAGCTGATTGGCATGTCACCATATTCTAATTTGTTGAGATAGTGAATTGGTGGGTTTTTGTTAAATGTGAGCCAAAATCATCACAATTAAAAGAACCAAAGACTTAAACTACTTCAGTCTGTGTGCACTGAATTTATTTAATACACGAGTTTCACAATTTGAGTTGAATTACTGAAATAAATGAACTTTTCCACGACATTCTAATTTATTGAGATGCACCTGTATACTGATAAAAGATATAGTGATGAACAATATAAATATTGAAAGCCAATCAGAATCCATCCTGTTTTAAAGAGCACAAGCATTTAAAGTGAGAGACGACAAAGCACGCTGCACACTTATAATAAACAGAATGTTATTGTGAGTTGGTGTGGATGCTAATATAGTTATAGCTATCTTTATAGTTATTATTATTGGTGTGAACGGGGCTTAAAATGAATTAAAATCACTGAAAATGGCCTGCATATTATATTGACCACAACATACTAATCTAATACAGACTATCTCTATTCTATTGAATTCGTTTCATTTTGTGTGGATCCTGATAATTATGAAATGTATCCAACACCTATAAGTTAAAGGAATGTTTATTATCGAAAAAAAAAGCTTATAAAATAATTCTGCAAATTTAAAGCAAGATTTACCATTTCAACCTTATGGCAGGCAGACAATTTAACCTTATGGTAGAGCTTTATATCTTCAAGACAAATTCTAAATTCTTGAGGTCATTTTTAGATGTCTACTATTAAGAATTTTAAGAAAAACATTTTTTTCATTGCCTCCTTTTAGGGTTGAATGATAACGGTCAATAAACACAGCATTCTAGTTCTCTGGAAATCTACAGATGGGTGTAGATTCGGTGTGGGCCTTGTCATAACCCATGTGACTACTATCAGATGTATGCATCCTCTAGGTAAACGCTAGTAAGGCACAATGAGGATTTGAGCATCTCCCTTTCCACAGATGTCTAAGACATTGGGATGCTGCATGCAGACGTGCACAGACACAGCTAAAAATAGGACTGAAGTATCCAGCAATTCCTGTGTTAAAGCCTGTAGCTCTGGGCACGCTGGAGCATCCTCAGCCCTGCAGCATGTGTGTGTGTGTGTGTGTGTGAATCACAAGGCTCAGTGTGCCATGTGTGATGGTGCACAGAGAGCTTCTTACCCTTCTCATGTGACTCACCTCGCTAGGGCCCACTGCTGGGATCTGTTGCTATGACAACAGCAGATCATATGATTCTGACTCATTCCCTGTGTGTATGTGTGTACTTGGAATTATGTTCTGGTGCCATGAATGGGGCATGGTGGCACACACATGTCAGATTATGGTAAAAGGGATGCCTAGCTGCTTGCCTTCTGAAATCACATCAGAATTACAATCAGCAAGAGCTTTATTGGCAAGTGTGCTTACACACACAAGGAATTTGTCTTGGTGACAGAAGCTTCCAGTACAAGTGACAAGACACAGATAACAAAAATAAAAATAGTGAGTAAAAATAAATATGTAAAAACAAAAAGACAAAGAGACAGTAAACAGTATATTGTATGTACAGATGAGCTATATACATGCTGCATGCACGTGTCACCTGACCTAAGACTTCTACTTCACACAAACACTGTACACATCATTAGCCACAGCACCAGTGTTTTATTCACCCATAACAGTAAAATCCCTGCTGGTACTAGAATAAAACTTAAAAATAAAAATAAAATAAAACAAGATTATCAAATTTAAAACACAACAATAATAAAACAATAATCAGACTAATGATCAAGGAGTATTGAATGCTAGAGAGGATAGGTATGTCTTTAGAGCAGATTTAAAAGCAGAAATAGAAGGAGCTAATCTAACATGAAGAGGTAGACTGTTCCAGAGTTTTGGACCTGCAGTTGCAAAAGCGCAATCACCTCGTTTTTAAAGTTTATCTAGGCACGAAGAGTAGACAGAGATCACTGGATCTCAGTGTTCTAGAAGGGGTGTACGGACGGAGCAGGTTTGCCAGGTACTGAGGGGCCAAATTGCTCAGGGCTTTATTAACAAATAATATCATTTTTAAATCAATTCAGTATTTGATAGATAACCAGTGCAGTGCAGGTAAAATAAGAGTTACCGGCTCATACTTCCGGGTCCCAGAGAGTAGTCTAGCAACTACGTTTTGCACTAGCTGTAGACAGGAAAGGGAAGACACTGAAATAAAGTGAATTACAATAATCTAAACAAGTTGTTACAATAGCATGAATCAATGTTTGGAAGTTACTCTGTGATAAAAAGGGTTTCACTTTAGAAAAATTAAAAAAGCATGATTTTACAACAGTACTGATCTGTTTGTCAAATTTTAAGTTATTAACTTTTTAAGTCCAGATTTCTAGCGCAATGAGTTTCATATGGGGTCAGAGAGCCACAGTCAACATCTAACACACAATTTTCCTTAGGCCCAAATATAATTATTTCTGTTTTAAAGGTAGCATGTGCAGGGTGAACAATACCGGCCTAAGGATTGATCCCTGTGGAACTCCACAATTAAGAGGTATACTAGGAGGTCTGATGACCAATACGAACACTAAAACATCTGTTGGTCAGGACCAACTATGTCCATGATTTGTCTAAGTAAAAGAGGTGGAATAATATCCCGAGGGCAGATATTATAACATTAATATGGAGGACTATGAATATATTGCATATACTGTACAATTATATCAAATATGGGTTACACTTTATTTTATAGGGTCTTTGTTACAGTGCAGTTGAACATTTAAGTACTAAGTAATATTATTTAACTATATGGTTAGAATGAGGGTTTGGTTTAGGGTTAGTTGCATGTAATTATGCATAATTTATTGTTATTACTACATGTAACAGTACGTGTAACAAGGACGACATAAAATAAAGTGTAACCCAAATATGGATACTTC